TAAAAAATACGTGTTTTCACCATGTTGAATTTCAAAAAATTTTTTTTTCTTTCTAATTGTTCTCTACATTTCAACGCCTAAAGCTGGAGACAGCACCAACTCACCAAACCGTGGATGCTCATTTACTATTTAATTTATCACAATAACTTAGTATTTAAAACTGGAATCTATTGGTTATAGTATATCTTTTTAAAAAAAATTTTGAAAGGAAACCTAATGGAATAATAACCATTTTTAAACAAAATTTGGTTAAATGACGAATAACAAATCTTAATGTTTTAAAAAAATTCATTGCATTATTATGTAAATAATTAAGCAGAAACTGCATTCATGAGCAATGAGATTCTTCTACAATATTGTTTTGACAATATTTTGCAATGCAAAAGCAAAAAATAAGACATACCTGGACGATCTTGATCCTCCAGAAATCTATAACAATTAAAATCAATCATTTAAAAAAAGTATCAATAATCTGTAAAGAATAAATAATCTTGGTTTTTAAAATACTCTAAAAGTGTAAGGACAGTTACGAACGCACTAGAAGAGATTTAATTTCTTTTTCTGTTACTTTTTAAAATAAATGTTAGAGCAGCAGTCTGCAAATTCTCCCTTAAAATCTCGCTCTCTTGCTTTTAACTGTTTGTAGAACAATCCGTTAGGTTAATTTGAACCTAGACTAGTTTTGGCATACCGTCACGAGAAAAGTGGATAAATTCATGTTGTTTTGGTATGCCTGTTAAGGCAGAGGGGTGCGATTGTTCTTGTTTTCCATTGGCGCCATCTATGGCAAAGAATTCGACTTCTGCCACACCCATACACCACACACCGTTTATTGAGCGAGCCCATTCTTACATTCATTCATTTTTCCATAGATCATAATTTTGACCTGAATCAGCGAACGATCAATCTCTAATTCAGTACTCCCAGAGGTATTGATTTCTTATGGGAACATGGAGGACTTTGCGACTCGACCGATTCAACGTGCATCAATCCGATAAATTCCTGATCATAAAAATTAGTCTCATTGTCGTGCATATGTATGAAGCTTGTAAAAATATTTTAAATTTTTCCGACCACCAAGATTGCTTTCGTAATTCTTTTCGGATTGTTTCGCAATTTGTGCTAGCTTTGCTCGCTTAATGAATACTAATGTAATTTTACCGAGCTCTGTATGATAATGGGGATATTTCCTATGAAATAAAGTTTTAACAACATGAAATCTTTACATGTAAGTCATGCGATTGTTTTATATACATTATAATACTCTTCCGTTTCTGTGGACCGATAAGAAAATCTATTAGCAACACAGAACTTCTATTAATTTATTACCCGTACTACTACCAAAATATCAGTAGCACCTATTATCGCAGTTAATTAACTATCATTAGCATCAATAACACGGTTTTTTACATCTTCACAAAGTGAAATAGTGTATACATTTCATCCATAAAATATCTAAGATTGAAAAATAATCATATTAATATTAAAATATGAAAAGGAATAAAATTATTTTGATTTGAGCTCAGGCATCTGTATTTATTAGTAGGATATATATATATATATATAAGTTCAAAATGAAGAATAAAACAAAGAAAAATTATATACATATGGAAAAAAAAAGGGGGGGGGAATAATAAGTAAAAAAATAACAAACAATAGTTTGAAAAAAAAAAAGAAATTTTATTTAAAAAACCGGAGGAAAAAATATTTATATCTTTTTTTTTTCCGGTTTTTCAAATAAAATTTTTTTCCTTTTTTTTTTCAACTGTTGTTCGTTATTTTTTTACTTATTATTCCCCCCCCTTTTTTTTTCATATGTATATAATTTTTCCTTGTTTTATTCATTTTTGAACTTATCTAATGAGTACTGTTTACTTGCACCTTAAGCGCAATAAATGAAACTTATTGTTTTTCTCAACTTCCTTGGTGTTATCTTGTATTTATTTATTTATTATATATATATATATATAGTCCAAGAGTAATTTATTCGTATTTTCATGGAAAATTTGAAACAGATTTAAGATAGTTAAAATCAAAATCGATGGTATCAGGCAGATTAAAATAAGTACAAAATATTGTGAAAAATATAACAGGCTTCCAATGAAAGTTCAAATACATAATAAAAAATTTTAGTACAATTTTCGTGTTGTTTTAGTGCTGCCATCTCTTTAATAATTGTAGAACATATATTAACAGGAAGACTTACAAGTATGGTGCTGCCCTCTTTTATTTTTCTGCCTAACTGGTTATACAAAATCAAACTGAATTATCAACTAAGACATTCGATATAATAAACTTATTTGCGTTTAATTATCAATCATTTGATTTTTTTTCAATAATTGACTCACTTTAATTGATTATTATGATACAAAGTCAAATCTGTACGTTTGTTACATATCTATTTAAAGGCAGTATAAAATGGATATCTAATATATGTACGAGCATAAAACAGCAAAAATGAATAAATAAAAGTAATTTCTTTTTTAAAAATATGGCTAAAAACCTTTTTTAATGCAACTAAATAAATAAAAACTTTATTTTTCGAAAAATCTCAACAAAAGGAAAAAATATAAAAAGACAATAAAATTAACTAAATAAAATAAAATTTAAAAATAATCGATTCTAATGATTTTAGGGCCATAATGTCTATTAGGTAAATAAAGCTCAATTACTTAAATCAAATCTAACGCTTTTAATTCTAATATAACATTTTGTGTTTTTGACTCGCCAATGGTATAAATTTTTCCCGTCTCGCTGCAACTCTAATATATTTATTTTAAGAATAAAAATATTTTTGAGCTTTGCATTCCATGCAATTTAAATATTTATGCTAAAATCATGCCATGTCAAAATTATCATTAAAATTATTCGTATTTTTTTACAATTTTAATTGAATAATAATGATCTAAAAACTCCTAAATTACAAAGCTTACAAACTTTTTACGTAACGTTAAACTATATAAGTTTAAACTTTAAATGCAAGAATTGAACTTAATCGGGGAAATAATTTTTGAATAATTTAAATAATCGTGCATTTAAGGTCTTTGTAAATATTAAATTTTATTTTATTTCCTTGTAAAAATGTTCCATTGATTTTTTTTTTAAAGTTTTTATTTGTCCTGCAAAAAGATCTTCAGAATTTTCTTTCTTTTTTTTAAAATGTACATATATAATTTTCAATTATAATAATCTATTATATATAATTCTCTTACGTGGCTCCCAAATTATGGCTGAAGTACTTTGTACAACTAAATAAGATTCTTTTCACAACAGTTAAATATTTACTTTATTTTCTTCATTCATAGAGAAAACAGTCGGCAAAGAATTCTGTTAGGTTAAAAAACATTTCGCTAAAAAAATAACGAATTCTAAAAGAAATAAAAATAAACAACTTAAAAAATAAAAATGCTGTTGCCAGCCATAGAATTTTTTGAAAGTTAACTTAGCAACATAAATCAAAATGACATAGAAGCGCAACTAGATCAAAATTATGATACCTGAGCGCTTGACGTAACAAATCCTTCAATTCTAAAAGTGTTGTATCGCCAAATGCCCAAATTAACAATTGTGTTCTTAAAGAAATTCTATAAAAAGTTTTAAATAAACAACCTACTTCTACAACTGCTTCTTGAAGAACTTGGCTCATTGATTAAAAATATTGTTTTAATTTTACAGTACTAACTTTACTTCTACTTTCATTATTGCTATGACCCTCTTTCATTACATTTTACAACTTCATGCTAAATTTGAGGACTTTAAGTTGTTTTGTGGTTGAATACTGACATTTAGAAATGTGTACATAAAAAAAATAATATTTAGAGGTTAAGAGTTGCCTCAGAAAAATTTGAATTGTTGACATTGAACTTAACAATGGAAACAATCGTTTTTGTGAAAAATTGAATTGTATTGTTGACATCAAAACTAAAAATATTGTGTTTCAACTTAACAATACTACCTTAATTTATACTTTAGAATTGCCTCGGAGAAATTTGAATTGTTAGCAATGACTTAAACAAAAAGTTTTATTTTAACTGACAAATACTATATTATAATTTTAACTTTTTCTATGACTATACTCATTTTCTTACTCTTTTCTTTGTTTTTTATACATTTTATATTTTTGTGATAAAATAAAAAACTTATAGTTGTTCTGCTTCTGAACACTGATGAAAACACAAAATGATGGGCTTCATCAACAATCAAAAATATATACATTTATTTTACAAATTCCATATTATTAAGGTGGCGCCCTTCAGAGAATTAAATATACAAAATTATCTTCATCAAAGCCGATGCTTTACATCCGGCGTTCAGTGGCAGACTACCATTTCATATTGTTTTACAACACATGGCTTTAGCCCTCTGGTGGGAAAGACTTTAAAACAAAACTTACAACAGTTACTTTTCTCAACAACTGAAATTTAGAATAGTGTGATTAAGAAAAATATGTGAACTGTTTGCAATTTCAAATTAATATTGAAATGTACAAGTTTAGAATTTTCTACAGTGAAAAGTTTTCAGAACTTCAGTACTCAAAAAAGTATACAAAAACTAGACGTTAAGAACGTATCCAATGCGAAAGCAGAAATGAATCCGAAATGAACTGTGAAAGCAGTTCCGGGGGTTGGTGAGCCCCAGCGAGCAGGGGGCAAAGCCTCCTAGTTATTAATATTCTAATATTTATCGATTGTCTAATTAAGAAGTGAACAGCAATGTCTCTTAGCTTGCGTGCGGGCATTACAATGTTTAATAATAAAATTAGTATACTCACAAGAATCATGTAATATATTTAATAGAAATGACGTGAAAAATATATAGAATGAAGATGATTTTGAAGAAATGTATGTAAAATATTTCGTATTTTTATGTAAAATGGGTACTAAGAGTTACTCACTTTTTATGACTTGTATTTTTTTATAAAAAAAAAGAAAAAAAGAAAGTGCATTGTTAAAAGGTTTTGTTTGCCTATTTATTTGTTCAAATGTAATATTGTCATCTACAATACTTTTTTTAAAAAAATTGTTACAAATAAAAATAATAGTGTTTCTTATTGCTCTGAAATTGGCTGCTAATCGTCGTTTTTAAGCTATATAGGCTTGTAGAAATTAAAATATGCGTCTTACTTTATCTTCCTCAGAACCTAGCTCTTCATATACCATTTTGTATGAGTTCTCTCTAAATAAATAGATGCAACACAATTATTAGGTAAAAACATAAAATATATGTATAAATGTAAAAACAACATTTAGGAGCGCAGTAGCAGAGGTTCTTGAAACCGGTTTGCACCTTTCCCTTCTCCCAACCACTACAGGGGTTGAGGAGGAGAATATAGTTTGTGTGAGCTAAGAACTCCTCCCGCCACAAAGTCTGAAGCCGTCTGGTGCTATGGAAACAAGAATGGCGCATTTTAGATAACTCACTCCAGGACTAACACAATAGATCGAAGAGATTCCCTTTCTCTCCTAAACCACTCCAAAACAGTGACCCCGCACCCCTACTTGAAATAGTCATACCTCGTTACCATGGTTACCGCCACAGGTCCAGACGAATGTCTGGAGGAGTTCTTATTTTAGACACACTATAAGAGTTTTTATTTCTATTTATTGTTGATTTATTTTGCGTTATTGATAAACGGTACTGTGCTATTAAGATATTTATTTGTGAATACATTTATATCGTCCATGTTGATTAAATCTGCATAGAAAGAAAGAATAAAATCTCTGTCGACGGGGGAGGGGTGACAGAGTTCCAACCTTAGAGGAGTGATTTACCCTAATATTTCCTCTAAGGTTCCAACTATGCCTGCAGAGTTGTCCCTCAACCGGTTCAGAGTTGACGTACCACCTGACTGACACTTTGCTTCTCATGCGCATGCGCTGGATCTTAGTGCCGGCTAAATCCGATTATGTTGCTCACCCTTAAAATAGTTCTTCGGGTATAGCATACCACACCAAGCAACTCCAATGCGTTAGTTACGTATTCAAAGAGCTGGACTTCTTTCTATATTCCTTGCTTGCAACTCGAAAAGAAGTGTCTAATTAGGCCTAACTATATGATTTAAATCGGATTTAACGGGATACCTGTAAGCGACGTCACGCGTGTGTGCCGAACCTGATTGACTTCTGAATCGACAAATGCAATGATTTACCTACGATGACGTCACTTACAGGCATCCAATTTTGTCACAGACTGACAGACTGATAGTTCTCGTTTTTGATACATAGGGGAGAGGGATGCTAGTCTGGGCAGTTTTTATAAATCAGTCGGAAAAGCTTGTTAAACTGTATTTTAAACTTATTTTGTATCATTTTCATTAAAATTTAAATATACATCAAAATTAAAATTTAATTTACACTTTTTTTAAAAATCTTTTTTTTCTTTCAAAAAATAGTTGTTTTTGACGACACTCATGACATGGGACTTGTGTGGATAGCTCTTAAAACTTCTTTAATCTATTGTTACATTTATATATTGTATTACATACTGCATTATATATAATGCCGGATGCTATTAGGCAAACTATGAAATAAACGTCCTGATGAGGTTATTATGCTAATGATGTGCATGTTACTGTGAATGACCGAAATCGGTGGTTGTTGACTTTCACCGGTGAATGTTGACAATCACATAGTCGCTTTGGTGAATGTCCGAAATATTTATTATATCTGATTTGATATTAATTTATTCGTGGATATAATTACATTTATTCGATATTTTAATACTTACTGGCGATAGATTAGAAGAGACATCAGTGTTTGGAGTATCGAGCAAATATATTCCAGCCAACGATACTTAACCTTAAAAAAATATCAGTGTAGGGTATACCGGGCAAAAGTATACCGGACAATGGCCCTTGACCTTAAAAAACATCAGTGTAGGGTATACCGTGCTGTGGCCCTTGACCTTAAGAAACCATTTCCCAGTATACCCTACACTGATGTTTTTTTTAAGGTCAAGGGCCACTGCCCGGTATACATTTGCCCGATACTCCAAACACTGATGTTTCTTCTAATCTATCGTCAGTAAGTATTAAAATATCGAATGAATGTAATTATATCCACAAATAAATTAATATCAAATCGGATATAATAAATATTTCGGGCATACATCAAAGCGACTATGTGATTGTCAACAACCACCGATTTCGATCATTCACAGTAACATGCACATCATTTACATAATACCCTCTTCAGAACGTTTATTTCATACTTTGCCTAAATAGCATCCGGCAATATATATAATGCCTAGGTATTATATATAATGCCTATACAAAGTATGTAATACTTCTCATATTTCTTACTTTGCCTAAAAACGTCAGGCATTATATATAATGCCGGCATATCATACTTTGCCGGTCACTTATATACTACATATCGTATATTTAAATAAATATTTTGGAGAGAGGATTTTTCATCTATGTTACATTAGTATTTTAAAAAAACTAGTGTTTTAGTGCTTTACATAATGAAAATTATAGTTGATGAACGATAAAATAATATGGTTAATTAAAAATAAGTATCTTACTGGCATGCTAGTTGACACTGCTTACTGCAGTCTTCGATAATTTCGTCTGTTGTTGTTTCATAACCTAAAAGTCAGTAAATTTCCAAATCTAGTTATTTTTATATATANGGAAGGCAGACATCGTGGAACATCATGCTTACACCTTTTTCTTAGAATTAGTGTATTTTTTAATAATGCATAATACTGATCGAACTTTCATAACAGTTTAGTCCAAATTCTTTGTATAACGGATGTATTTTCTTTGTAGAATTTAAGAATAATTTTTTGCCGCGTGAGATACGTTCTAAATTTGATATGAAGGCATATTTATCCCAGAAAAATAAACAAATTCATTTGAGAAAAATTGATTTATTATTTAGAGAATAAATATGGTCATACCTCGAAATAATGAGAGGATGTCCCTTAAAGAGATTAAGAGAATCATTTTCTTAACATCAAGAATTTCAGTAAAAATATAAATTCAACGGTTGAGACTGAGGGGCCGAAGCCACCTCAGTCTGATCGCCAATAATTCGAAATTAGAAGTAAAGTGAATTGTTCCCAACGGAAAGTTAGGAGCAGGGGTAGAGATCCATGGTTAGCAATTTATCGAAAATAACATAGCCAAAAACAAAGCCAACCCTCCGTAATCAATATTAAATTTGAAAATAATTTGGCGTAAGCGAATCGCCAAAAAGACTGTGAGAATTAGTGTAACCATTTAACTGAAACATTTTTTCTTGTAAGAAATAAAGAGTTATAAATAGATTTTTGTTTTCGATTTAGTCGAGACAGTAGATTAATGAGTTTTACGTTTATATTGAAATATAAATTTGAATAATTGGTTTCATTTATTAAAATTCGATTAAGAATGATTTAAAAAAATAATTTCAAGAAATTAAAGGAATTTTAAAAGCTAAGGAAATATGTATTTCCTATTTTGACATCACTCGAACGTAATAAGGAAAGGAAGTAAATAATTTCTTCTGGTTTTAATACCATCAATTTTGAAATCATTATAGAGGTTTGAAATATTTATATTAGAATTCTTTTCAAATTGTGGAGGCAAATTTTGCATGAGTAAAAAGAGCTCCGTTTCCAAAAACTTCAAGCATGATCTTTTAAATTCTAACGCCAAACACTCAGCAGCGCGAAGTCAGAGGGCTCGAATTCTAGCGTGTATATTAATGATATCAATGGTGTCAGTCGCTAATTTATACCACCTGTTTTTCAGTCTAACAAAGAATTATACCTCACATTTGCGATTTTTACGAAAGATATTTTCTAACTGTGGCCAATTTTTTGCTTTCTCCGGATTTCAAATACTTGATTTAAGATTATTTTAACTACTACATCATAAATCACTTAACATATGTAAGAACCTTAAAAATTATGTCTTATATCTGCAAAAGCCTGACGAAATTCAAGAAGAATCACCATAAACTTTATTGCTCTGAAACTACCAGTGCACAGTCCAAGGTTTTGTGGCCAAAATTAGTATTTCGCTAAAATTTGTTTCAAAATTTGGTGGTTTTTATTTAGGGTTTTCATATGCAGGTAAATTGAATTCATAGTTGAAATTTTTAAATACACTAAAAATACCAAAAAAAAAACAAGATGGCTGCTAAAATATGGCGAGCAAAATATNAATTCACTTATTTAAATTTTTAATAGACTTAATTATAGCCGAAATTTTAATCTTTTTAAAGAGATATCAGTTTTAGAAATTTTATCTTAAGATTTTATACTATAGCACATTTCTAATAGATTTAACGAGTTACATGTCATTTATTTGAATTCAAATTTATTTTAAGGACTCAGTACTAACTAAAAAGATGTAATTTTTTTTAGAAAAAAAAGTTGTTATATGGATTTGAATGATTGTTTTGAATTCTTAGAATTTTGTGCATTTGCAATGTACCTAAGTTAGTAGCGAGCGAAGCGAGCTTGGTTTGCGGAGCAAACCATATAAGATTGCGTAGCAATTTTCGGGGGTTGGCGAGCGTTAGCGAGCAGGGGGAGCAGCCCACTAGTAAATTTTGTTTTTCGGTATATTTAGTCCACCTTTGCAATACGGGCAAAATGGGGCAGGTTTTTTCGAAAGAAGAAACATCAAAGAAGATAACAACAAAAAGTTTAGTCAATTACCTCGTGGAACTTTTTGGAACTAAGTTTCGAATGTCAATTAAACATTGTAAAATGTCAAATGATAAGATTTAAACTATAAGTTTATATCTCATTATTTGACGCTAAGAACTCCTTCCGCCATAAAGTCTACGGCCGTCTGGTGCTATGGAAACAAGAATGGTGCGTTTTAGGGAGGGTAGCTTTATTCTAGGACTAACACAATAGCCCCAAAAAAAGAGATTCTCTTTCTCTCGCCGACCCGGGTCGAAACCACTCCAGAACAGTGACCCCACACCATGGAGCTAGGAGTTGGCTCCATGCCCCACACCCCAACTTAAAATAGTCATATCTTGTTACCATAGTCACCTCCACAGGTCCAGACAAATGTCTGGGGAGTACTTATATTAGACAAACTATACATTACCGTCTAACTTATGGGCCGCACCGCATTTAAGGAGGTGAGGAGGACTGTAGAGAAGGTTAAGTAGAGGTTATTGAAAATTATAACCCGAAAAAAGTAGAAATAAGTAATAAATAATGATGCCAATTTTTTGTTCAGAGATTTTGTTTAGACAATGCAGAAAATATATTTTTTTTTCATTTCACCTTTATCACCAATAAATTAGTAGATTTGAAGCCTTTTTTTTCTAAAGAGCAACTTTTATTATAAATCTAATTCTGTTTCAGAAGAATGTCTAACGCAACGCTAACAAATAGCCACCAAATAAAAATAAGCAAACATACCTTTAGCACAAATCTTTTCATAGTTAGGATAATTCACATGTTCATCTATACATTTTCCTAAAGATTTGATCTTCATCAACTTGCAGTGCTCAGTACAGTCCTTTAAATGTAAATAGATACGCGTGCATTAAAAGATTGAACCTTTTATAATTTAAATTAGCTGAATGATTACTAATAAATCGGTATCGGTATGAAAATTACTAATAATCAACACAGTGAAAACAGACACTCAAAACAAAAAGGCATATATAGACGCACTTGAAAAATCTCAAATAATTCCATTGTTCATTTAAAGAATTATCGTTATTTGTTGCCCTTCCTGGTGGCTTTATGTAATTAGATTAAGCAAAACACGTTTTTAGAAGTTCATCCCATCAAAACGAAGATTAACTGCTTTCAGTATCATTTGGCATAATACTATTGCGCATGTTATAAATTTACAAAAAAAAGTCTTCCATTAATTGTACTCAAATAATTGCTACCCTTTTCTACTTTGTTCCATAATTCATACTTTTCTATTAATTTTAATTTTATATGCTTTATAAATTCTACTTGCTAGTCACATTTACTAAGAAAACGTTCAACTGAGTATAAAGATCAAACATTCATAACGTAACGTTCGTATACTTTGCTACAAAATTGCAGCTAAAAAATTTGTTAAACTAGATCAAGTTTTTAAATAAAATCAAGTTTTTAAACTCACTGATTGTATCATGGGTCCATAGCCTCCATTTTCTCTCCATAATTTAAGATAATCTGTGCAATTTGATTTGTAAGGGGGTGGAAGCCTTATAACTTCAGTCTGAAATTAGAAAATAATTATTTTTATAATCCTTTAAATTAATTTATAAGTACAAATAATTTCTTTCAAGAAAAAAAATTTGCTTCAAGATGAAAATTTTAATTATAATTCTACTGGTTTGAAGTCATTTAGAGTAATTTTTGCATCATTCGTTCCATGTTCTAAAATTATCCCCAAAGGAAATATGTAGTTTTAATATTTTTCAATTTTTGATCCGCCAGGCGAAAGCGAATTCAACTTTTTTTTTATTAAGTTATTCGTTTAATTAATTAATTTTATTTTCATTTCTCAGCACCCAACGAAATAAGTATTCCCAAAAAAAAAGAATATAGAAACAAATAAAGAAAGAAAATATCTGAAATCCCTTACACGGGGTAAACCAAAAAGTATCGTAAATTTTAGCTACAAAAACAACAAGAGCCTACAAAAAAGTCCTGTATTTATATATTTGTTGTTCGTTAACCCTTTTGTAGGCCGTGTATACTTACCACTTTTAATTTACGTTTCCATTTTTCAATAACTTTAGCTTTCTTGAAGTGAGTTTGAATAAAATTGGTAACCATTTGTCACTTTTTAAAAACGTATAAAAGTTATAAATACGTAATTCCTTTTGAAGTTTGTAGCATTTAAGGAATTTATTTTATAAATAAAGAAAAATAAAAGTCAGTAAGTTTCTAATAGGTCATGTTAAATATATTTACCACCAAAAAAATGGCATTTTTATGAACTAAATGAGTTTTTTTTAAATATATATCAATTACTGTTCTTAAAACAATTTCAATTCCAAAAATACTTCAATTTACCTTTACTAGAAATAAAGGGCCCGTTAAAGGGTTAAGATGTAGAAGAATGTCTTTTAAAAAAAAAATCATTTTAGAAAAAAAAAAAAAATAATTATAACTTCTAATGTTTATAAGAGATAGTGACAATTAGTTAATTTTTAATTTTAAAAAGAGTGAGCTTACTATAACTACTAATAACTACTACTAATAATAATGTATAACTATTAATGATATTAAAGTATAGTGACAATTAGTTAACTTTTAATTTTAAGTAGAGTAAGTGTATTAACCTTAAAGTAGAGTAAGCGTATTAACTTTAAAGTAGAGTAAGCGTATTAACTTTAAAGTAGAGAAAGCGTACAGTTTACCGTACAGTGCAATTACATTTTCTCAAAAGTGAGAGGATCCTGATCCTTCAACTGGGTACCTGGGACCGTATGTCGCAAATCTTGGAGGGTTCCTTGTCCCGAAACTGGGTGCATCTAGCCACTTGGGGCTGTTTATGTTCATCACGAACTCCTAACGTTGTAGTGGTTAAATAACATTGTGGTGGTTAAAACAAATGGAGTAGAAAAATGCATTTTTCCACTGTATACATTAGTGAAGTCCTTACTTTTTGTGTATATTGGATTAAAATGTTTCACTACAAAAGTAAGCTGCTTTGAGTCATACTCTGATATCTTCTGGTTAGATATCGAAATTGAAGATATCATTAAATTTGGACTCACTTCTCTGTAAATGTAGGTGGGTAATTTATTTAAGTCGCACTAGAGCTACACAATGGGCTAACGGCGTCGGTCTGGTAAACATCCCAGAGAATGATCCAAAGACATGTCATCGCAATTTTGTTCTTCTAAAGAGGGGGATGGTTCCCTTGCTTTGGTAGCTCAACAGTCTGTGTGCCAAGTCGAGCACTTTACGGTAGAACAGTTTAACGAGGTCCGATGCAGCGCATCCTCGGTCCCTACTCAGGCTGATCAAAGTGGTCACCCACCTGCTTACAGACCGGAGCCAGTGATGCTTGACTTCGGTGTTCCACAGGGAACAGTGTCTTTACGATAAGTCCACAGCGGGATCTCAGTAAATGCTGGAGGTCATGATTTTTGTACTTATTGATAATTCTTAAAAATTGAAATTTTTTGGGCTATACGAATAAATTATGTAATTATAAATTACATACGAATATATCCATTTAAATCCAGATTGCATCAACTCTGATAAAAGGATTCGATCTGTTCGTAACACGTTTAGTTTGTTTTAATGGTAGAGAAGTGCCCTATCAAGGTACTTATGCGCTCTAGATATTGTGACTAGAACAGGTTCGCAAAGCCGATTCACGAACACGAACCTATGACTTGTTCGTAGACGGGAATCGATACGTCTGTACCGATTTAACAGACTTACAAGCTAGCAAACATCACCAATATTATCTTTCAAAACCATTAGAGTTAAGCATGGGGCATGGGTGAAAGCCCTTATATAGCAAGACGGAAAAGAGAAAAACCTGGTACGTAAAACATTTCACTCCAGCATTTTTTTCGAAAAAAATGAAATATCTGTAACTATCAAGATTTCTTTTATAATTCTGGTATATATATAAAACTGCTTCTTTTCCAAGATAAAGTAGATATTGTTGAAAAATTTAAAAAAAGAATAAGTAAACTCCTCCCCAAAACTAGCTATAACTGAAATGGTTTTACTACCAGCCTTTCCTCTTTTCCGTCTCGCTTTCACCCCTGGCATGGGGGGCAGTTTAATTTACAGAAAGGAATAAAGCTGAACTCATGGAACATATTGGATTTTCAAATGTTCCCCACGAACAGAGTAAATGGAGTTTTAGAATGATTTTTTGGATAGGGTACCAAAATTGGCCCTTACACTTGTTGTCTAGATTTCAGCATATCTAGCACAAACGATTCTGGAGTTATAAGAGATACTTTCCTATAGTATACACAGACAAAATCATTAATCTATTTTCATAAATTACAGAATTATTTCATTTATTACAATACTAGCCGCCAAAGGCGGCTAGCTGTCCGCCTCGCTAAAGGTTTTCACAAATAAAGTTTTTTAAAACATAGCAGGAAATCTGAAGATTAGTGGACAATTAAAGTGTTCCTGTCCTGCAATTTTGTCTTCATATCCAGCTCTGCTGCAGGTGTGTTATAGGTCTTGAGGATGTTTGAAATTATATAGCTGCAACGCTTAAGAAAAAAAAAAAACTAAAATGCTAAATACATGAAAAGAGCACGAAAACTAATTAATTTTTTATGGTATCAATTTCTATTTCTATATAATTTCTTATGGTATCAATTTCTATTTCGATATAATTTTTTATGGTATACCCAACTATAGTATACCCAATTGTAAGGTTCGCATTAGCATACATTTATAAGAGTGGAGAAAAGTATATGCATTTTTTAATAGAAAAGAAGACGAAAAAGCATAGATTTTATTACAAAATGACTGATAAATAAAAAACTAATCCAAATTTTTGAAACAGAAAAAAAAATATTTCTTCATTATGTCAAAACACAATTATGTGCCGAGTTTCAAGCCTGGGCGAGGCTTCTGGGGCGATATATTGTGATTACAGACGCACACACAGCCGCGTTTATTATTATGTATAGATGAAAACTAGCACTAACCATAGAAATGTAGGCTATGTATCTTCTGCCACCTTTAAGAACAATACCTTTACTGTAAGGGTTGATTAATCGTTTTCTGTCGTGAATTACTATATACACCAAAGATGTTAGATTATAGTCAAAAAAATCTTGCTCTCTAGCATTTAGTTCTAATTCATAAACTGAAAAAAATGGAAATAGGAATTAGTTCTGTATGAGTAAATAAAAGAAATCAAAATTTGTTGAATGCAAACAAACTGAGCAGTAATTCAGAGATGCCAACTGCTCCGGATTCGACAAATTGTTTTAAGAAGCGGCAGTGAATTACAAAATAAATTTCGCAGATTTTGAATCAATTTACCATTTTATTAAATGGCCAGAATTTAAAATTAAAATTAAAGCCAGAATTTAAGATTAAAAAGCAGCGAATGGCAGCTCCAAAAGTAGCGGTTTCGAACATTTTGTAGCCCCCAAAGATACGTTCTCTCTCTATATATATATATATATATTTCTACTAAATTGGGTATAATATGAAAAAAACACAACTACTTCGATTTAGTAGGAACAACATATGACGCAATGCTAAACGAATGGAATTTAGTTGTTGTTTATTTAGTTATTGTTATTGGTAGTTGTTGTTATTTGTTTTAGTTGTTGTTGTTTATTTAGTTGTATTTAGTTTCAATAACTTTTCTTTATAATGAAATAAAATCTGGCGAGCAGCTATTTAAACGATCGAACACTTCGTTTGTTTATTTGTGGCTTGAAGTTAGGCTCGCAGAAAATGCCGTTCATGGGTTAAATTTAGTAGGAACAACACAACCTGGGACGTAGGCTATATTATACCCAATTGAGAAAATAAGTTGAATTTCA